CGCAAAAGAAAAATGTTGGTTTACATCCACCAGCTTCTTCCCCCAACCTGCCAGGTCCAGCGGAGGCTGCAAATGAGGCGCAGCAGTTTGTGTTCCCCACTCCCTCATTTTCACACCCTGCTGTGGCTCAAGAGGTGGCCCAGGAGACAAGCGGTAAACCAGTAGGAGTCCCCAGGCCAAGCACCCTCGCACGCCAGCTTGGCAGCGTTGACCACTCCTGCGAGAGACGCCGGGCTGAGCCTCGAGGGAGGGTCGTCCCAGAGGGAAGGGCTTCCACAGACAGGGTCCTCGGGCAGACTCAGAGGTAGCATCGGACACACTTTTGTAACTTGATTGTCATGGAATTCTGGCCTGCCGAAGGCAGCGGCAGCTGGGATGGAGAGGGCACCCTGCAGGAGTGGGAGATGGGACACGGGGGATCTGGTCCCCCCGCCTGGAGACTGACTACTGCTGTTCATCCTGGGCGCTGGGGTCTAGCAGCGAGCAAGGATGGACTGTCTCCTCCAGGGCTTTTCAGAGAATAAGTCACCCTTGCTGAAGAAGGCCAGAAGTTGGCTGGTGGGCACCCCGCAGTAACATCAGGCTCTCCCTCCACAGCTCACCAAGGCCTCTTGGGTTATGAGCAAGTGCCCCAGCAAGCTCCCTGGTGCCAGAGCCTGCTCCTCTCTCACCGCACGCAGGCAGCGGTGCAGCCCACTGCGAGAGGACCAAAGGCTGCCGGTCACTCCCCCCACAACACAGGTATAGCGAGGGCTTGTGCTTTTGGCTTTTTAAGAGTCCCTGACCTTCCGAACCTGCTTACTCCAAGAAACCTCCTGTTTCTGCTACCTTTAGGACTTAGAGGACAAGGAGGAAGGGCTGTCAAAACCATTTCTGGAGAGCACATGGCCCCTTAAAGAGAAGGGAAAGTCCACAGAGCCCAGCCCTCACCTACAGTGGAGACATGCCAAGTCAGGAGCATTTCAGATAAGGCATCGCAGGTGCTTTGATAGTAAAGCAGTTAGTGTTGACTACAGTACTTTAAACACAGGCTGCTGCAGAGGGCATCCCTGGGGCAAAACCAGTCCTCCAGCACTTGGTACAGCAGAAGGAGATGGTTCAGGTTCCCAGACCCCTCCTACACACACACTCAGACTGCTCTGGCTGCCCTTTTTGGATCCCCCCCCTCCCTTCTCCCTAGAAAAAGAGTTAAAAAGCCCAGGCTGGGATGTGCCATTTACCAAGCAGCCAGAGAGATAAAAAGACGCCTTGTGCTGTACCAGACTTTGCAGTAGGCAGGTGAACCGCGGTGCCCGGGGGTGGGCAGCGCCAGCGGGATTGGAAGCAGGGGAGGCTAGTTGCCGTTGCTGATGCTGGAGTTGGCACTGCTGCAGCTCTGCTCGTAGGATGGAGGTGCCTCTGCGGGGGAAAGAAAGAATAAGAGCAGTTATGGTAGGTGTTTGGGAGGTTCCCTTCACCCCAGTCTATGTAACTCAGTGCAGAGTAAAGCAAAATGCGAACACGTACTGTGCCATGCATGCAGGCACTCTCTCTTCAGGACCCTACAACCTGCCCTGCTGAAATGCACGGGGTTTGCGTGTGCACACGCAGAATTTGAGCCAGCCAGTTCCATCCCTGTCCTGATGACTACAGGGGTTAAAATCAGCACCTCAAAGTCCTGTTCTGTTCCTCCCCTTCTTTCACAAGCATCCTCACGAACTCCAGCACCCCCAGATCACAGGTGCTTCATGTGCTCCAAGCCAGGGCTGAAGTGATACATTGAGTGCCTCGTTACCCCCGTGTTAATGGGACGGGTTTATTTGGGTAGGACTGTGCCAACAGTCTGTGCTAACAGACACCCCTGGTCCCTGCCACCCCAGCCACTGGGACAAGCACGGCTCCAGGAATCCAGCACACTGGGATTTCCCCAAGCTTTTCTACCCTGGCCAGTCTCTCAGCTCCCACCCCCACAGCTTGTGTCTTCAGACCAGCTGCAGGCCCACTCCAAGTCAGACAGAAGATTTCAGTTACATCATTTTCCTGGCTCTGCTCCCACCAGCCTCACCACAAGCCAAGAAGTTTTTCTATCAGTGGGAGGCTGAAAGCTCATTTAAGAACAGGGAGATCCTCTCATGACAAGCCCAGGGCAGGCATGGGTGTAGACGTGGGAACGGACAGACAGCTTTTACAGCTGTAAGAGGGGACGCCTCCGGAGGCTAAAGCAGGCAGAGAGATCTCATGATCCCCTCTGACATCAGACCCCGGGGAGGACGACATCTCTATATTCCCACCCAGTTCGCAGCTAGCAAAGAGACTTTTGCGGTAGGAGACTTTTCTGACCACACCGCCCAGCCCATTCAGATCTCAGGAGCGGGCTGCTCACCATATGGGTAGCCCCACGTGCTGTACTCCGGAGGCAAAATGAGCGAGCTGGCTGTGGGAACGGGCACCACGTTCCCCTCAGCGTAGTAAGGGACAGTGGCTCCCGTCGACAGGCAGAGCGTGGGATGGTTTGGGGAGCCCGTCTGCTCCGAGTCCACCCTTATCTCCTGGAAGCTCAGTCCTGGGGCGTAGCTAAATGGCTGCTGCTGCTGGGAATGGCTTTTGGTGGGGATTGAGACATTGTCCATTGGGTGATAACCGCTGGCAGCCTCCTCTTCCTCCGGGGGGGCACTGGGTACCACTGCAGATGGTATGTGCTGGATGGACCGGGAGGGGCTCAGAGGCACCCTGTTCACAGCAATGTTACCAATATAAATGGGGAGAGTGACTGAAACCTCTGGTGACTTCAGGGAAACCTGGAAGAGAAGGAAAAACAGTGGCATCCTCTTCATTATACCTTGCACTGGGAAGGTTTACCTGATGCGAGGGCCACCTGCACCACACAGCTACAGAGTTCAGCGACTGAGCTCAACCCAGAAGGGAGCACAGAAGTTGCAGCAGAGCCCACTGGAGCTCCCCAGGAGCGCTGATGTACTCACTTGGATGTAGTAGTCGATATGTATGAGGCTACAGCCCTGCAGAATGGACTGGGGCAGTGCCGGAACAAGGATCTGCTCCTTCCATTCTGCATGTTTCCAGGCTTTCACTCCTGACCCTTCCACCTCTGCAATGGTCCTCAGGTCATAAATCCAGCGCTTGGACTTATAAGCCACTTTCTGTACAGACAGGAGAAAATACAGCTAGCAGAAAGATTGCAGATGGTCTTCTGTCTCCCACAAATGTAAGTCAGGACACAAAACCACCCAAACTGCTTTGTCAAATAAGCATGAGCACAAACCCAAAGTGCATATTACAGAGCAGAAATACTCATCATTGTATGATAGACTGAGTTGGTATAAGCAGGACAAGTTCTACCACCTCTTTCCCCAGGAAGGCAGAGAGAAACCGAGTTAGCCAGGGCTCTGGACTCTTTGCTGCCATCTCCCAGCCACACGCAGCAGAGATGCACGCTGGTGAGAAATGCCCCAGTTTCACAGAGGCCTCAGGGGAGTGGTGCACCACCACAAGCCAAAGAAACATCCTTTTGGATGCTTACCTGGAGCAGACTGGCTACCACAGCCCCGGTGTCCCGGCCCGATTTGTTCTCTATGTCCGTGCGGAGCTGGATTGCTTGCCCCACGATGTACCCTTTCAGATCCGAGGTGGCGGTCAAGACAACATTGCCACTTTTCACAAGCTTGTAGTTGAACTTCTTGGTGATTGACATAGTGTTGGGCTGCTGCAGGACAGTAAAGAGACAGAGATGTTGGCTCGAGAGAGTCAGAAAGCCTCCAGGAAGACACTCAGAGATTCAAAACAAGCAAGCAGAAATATCTGGTCTCAGAGGACACACAGAACCAGCGACACAGCACTGCCCCAGACAACAGGTCTCACTTCTCCATCCCCCCAGTTTTGTTGTCCTATTAGTCGCTCTTCCCTCCAAAGCAAGTTCCCCAGGTCTCTACAACCATCTGGTGCTATTGGCCAACACCTCTCTCCGCCTGCTGAAAATTCACCTAAATCTTTCAAAGCAACATGCAGAAGAGCCAAAAATCACTTGGAGCAGGGACTGATGGCAAGGCAGGACAGACCAGGAGTCCTTGTCCTGCTCTTGCACAGTCAGGGCATGCAGTCAGAGAGCTGTCCAACCACACAATTATTCCCCAGACAGCACACAGGACAAGGACAAGCACTGAAACCTTGGCACTTCCCAGCCACGCTCCTCCTTGTTCTTACCTCGATGTCAGGGATGTCATTTAAGTTGAGAGGGCAGAGAACGTAGAAGATCTTGTTGCACTTGTAGTCCTTGGAGAAGCGCGGTGTGTCTATCACAGCTTTCACCTGATGGAGGACCTTGCCAAAAGGGCCTTCAAATGATGTAGGAGCAGAGGCTGGAGTCGAGAGAGAAAGAAAAGGATCGTAAGGTTGAGCCAAGCCAAGCGTTTCTGAACTGGAAGTACAGTCCCTTTAAACAGCTCTCCTCTTCAGCTGAGGAGTTCTGCGAGTACAGATCACATGGGGATTCCTCACAAAAAGACCTGGGGCAGGACACTTAGGTCACTTGGAGACCTTGCTGCAACCTCTTTACAGAAGGGATCCTCTGCAACCACAGGTGCCAGAGCAGAGATCCTCCCTCTGAGCACACTCTGGGCAGGACGGCTGGCTAGCCACAGGCTGGGACCCCTGCCCACACCCAGAGAGCTCACAGGGTCACGCTCAGAGAGGCATCAGCGACAGCTCAGACCCAGCTTTGCACCAGCGCAGAAGGTGCCTGCTCGTCTGAGCTCCTCTGCTGTCTGTGGCTCACCTTACCCTCCCTCCAGCATCTCCAGGCCAAGCTGCCAGCCTGCCTCTGCCATCCAGCCCAAGTCCTGCTCAGCACAGCTCAAGAGGCTCCAAAAGCCAAGGCTTACAGGGAAGTGCTTTCAGCCATTTATCTGCATCATACCTGGTAACAGGAACTGAAAGGGAAAGTTGTGCTCTCCAGCTGTCAGGACCCCTGTGGGAAACAAGAATAAAAGGTAAGTGGGACAGCCCGTTGCCTTGGAATGATTTTCTGGAGAGTACGATCTTCTGGAGTGAGAAGCCACGACCTGGGGAGCAACACCCAACCTGTTCAGCTGCCTACAGCCCACTGGGCAGCTCCAGATCCAACACACAGTGCTCGAGTCAATAGCAGCACCTGCTGCCACCCCCCTCTCCTGGGGACAGGAGATGTCTCCATTCCCAATGACAGGTTCTACGTTAAGACACCCTGGAAATAAGGTAGTTTGGGGCAGGGTTTAAGGGATCCCAGTGCCACAGCAAGTGGTTAGCCCCAGACTACTGACACAGGGCAAGGAGAAAGATGCTGTGTGTTTATCTTTCCTCAAGTAGGCTACAGCCCGTCAGGGGGAAGGCAAGAAAGCACAGGCACTGTCTGAGGGCGGTGAGGAGGTCTGGTGGGCTTCAAGCCGCTATAGCTTTAGCCACACACCAAGCTCCATGCAGACTGCACAGCGTTCAGGAGCTCGAACCAGATGGCCATCTCCCAGGCCTAAATCCACCCCCAGTCCCAAGAGGGGACCTGCAATACCTCAGCCTGGCTGCTTAGACAGCAGGAGCCGAGGAAAAGATTTCCACAACATTAAAACCTCAACACTGGTTTTCTTCAACCGTATCCCACTCTGCAACAGCAGCCTTGAGGGCACAGATCAGAGCGAAGAGTCAGCGCACGGCTAAAACAACAGCTACAGACTCAGACTCCTCAACCCCATCCACCCTCCAGCACTCCCATCCAGATTCCGGATTCTCCACCATGGCAGTGTGATGGTTGAACTGTTGAACTGGACCCGCAGTGTGATCCCGTAACATCAGGCAGCTCCCAAAGTTGCCTTCAGTAAGAAAAGCACTAAGGATTATCTGTATTTGTTAAATACATGTAAACACCAGAGGTTTTGTTTTTAAAGTGGCAGTGCTAAGAGGAGACATGGATACTTATTAAATCAAGCTGTGTTTATTCTGCTTTGTAGGATCGTTGCTGGAGGTACCAAGACTAGATTTGGCTAGCTCTTTTGTTGATGCAAGACAGAGGAGACAGCTTGCCTGTTAGCAACATTGGCTCCGCAGAGCTGACAGTAATAAAGTCCTACCGTCAGGGGATTAAGTGGATTATGTGAACGAGGAGGTGGGGAAGAGAGAAGGATAAATCCCCCCCGCCCTGACACTGTGATCCAGGTAGGAGGCAGGGGAGGTGGCGTTTGACTTGGTGCATCCTTCAGCGTTACGAAAAGCTGCACCTCTGCCCCTCCGCTCGCCCAGCCACCCCACGGGGACTTAAGGACACCCCAGTTAGCGTGCATCCCGCCGGCAGTGCAAAGGCAGGCAGAATAAATAATAGGACAAGCATCCCATCACGTATCGCTACGAAGGCAAGTCAGGAGAAAACTAAGAGATGTCTATTTATACACTTTGTCCTTACAGAGAGGAGCAAGATCCGCTTGCTCCCATCACCCCACCCAGAACACCTCCCCGAGTGATTTCCCTCCCCATCCCGCAAACCACACCGAATCACGCAGGCTAACAGGCAACACCCGGGCTTGTCACCAGGTGGAGGCACAAAGCCAGTCCCTGCGCCGGCACAGCGGCGTGGGCCGCTTCTCCCACTGCCTTCGTGGGAAGTCCCGCTGGTCAAAGGCAGTAGCTTGAGATGCAGCAGGTGCCTTTGCTTGTTGGTTACGGGGTAAAGCCTGGCTAATATGAATGACTCACCTAACCCAGCGCTTGTTTGCTGCTCCAAGGGATTCCGCCTTTTATTGGGCACTGTTTGACATTGATCTTGTACCCGTTATCCTTACTTTTGTAAAGAGAATCGATAAACTGGAATACATCAACTCTCCTGTGCAGCTTCTGCATTGCAGTAAGGGGCCTTGCTCCATCCGAAAGGGAGAGGGAGCAAGCCCTGTTACTGCAATGCAGAAGGAAGGGAGATGGGAGTCCCAGAGGGTACTGGCCACTGAGTTTCCAGCAAGACCTGGAGACTTTCCAGCTGTCTGACCCGCAGAGCCCCAGATGAACACGCAGGCAGCGATTCCAAGTCTCCTGCCAGGAGCCTGAAACTTCACAGCCTTTCCAGGACCCTTAGGAAGAGCTCACAGACTCCAAAAAGTGAAAGTTCCTCTTCTGCATTACAGGCAGCATGATCCAACAAGTCATTTTGGTCAAGCTCCTGCCCAGCTCATGTGCACCAACACAAAGCTGGGCTGGAAGTGAACCTGCGAGCACTTCATGTTCACAGTTTCTAACCCCCTGCAGGAAACCAGGGGTCCTGAAGGTTGCTCCCAACAGCAGCATCGAGCAAGGCAATACGGTCTCCCAGCAACACGCATCCCAGCATCGCTCGCATAGGATGTGGTTCGGCTGTTGGAGCCACCGTAACTTGGTGGCACTGATGCAGTTTCCACCCAGGTAGCTCAGCCTCCGAGTGAAGTCACCAGATGAGAACTGCCCACAGGTCAGCATAGACCACCCCGAGAGCTCAGACCAGCCCAAGCACCCAGAGACCTGCTGGCTCACAGCACACCCCGACTTGCTGCGAAGGGAGCAGCCTGCAAATCCCTCCTGCAGCTCCTGCCTGCGACGACCTGCCCACGAGGGCTGGAAAAGGCTGCTCCTGCTCTTCACGGCCAATGATGAGTTCCAAGACCAGCTACCCCCGACTGAAGTCATGCCCCATCGCAGCTCACGCAGACTGAGGGCATCGCAGCGGTGCAAGGCTCGCCGCCACGAGAGCCCAGACCTCAGCCCTGCACCGAACAGGGAGCCAGGGAAGCGCAGCGAGCTCTGTTCTCCACTCCATTAAGCAGAGAGATGCTGCAGGCAATTAGCAATAGCTCTTGTTTTCAGACCTGCTCCTTCCAGCCCACGCTTTCCTTCCCCCAAAGAGAGAAGCATCTTTGTGCCACCCCTGAGATCCTCCACATACAGGGAATTTTCCAGCAGGCTGGACCAAGCACCCTGGTTCTACCCAGAGGTACAGGTACCACCGCATGCAGCTTCATTTTCTAGCCCAGCTAACGAACAGCCCACAGAGCCCCAATTTCCAGCTGAACGCCTGCATTTCTTGCCCTTATTGCAAGCACTGAAGCTGTTTGGGCAGGTCGCTGGTGGAGGGGCTATGACAGGCAGCAGCACCCTCAGCCTCACATCTGGCTGGGGACCCCCAGTCCCGGCTGCAGGCACCCTCGGCAGCCCAGAGTGAGCATTTCGAGAAGCCTGCTGGCACGGAAAGGAGAAGCGGTGTTGGAATTCAGTGCCAGAGCTATTTCAGAGACAAGGGTTAATAAAAATAAGATGAAGAAAACCAGATGATCCTGACCAAGACAGGAAACTCCCGTGAAAGCACGGGCACGATCCAGCGTGCCTGGCAGAGTGTCAGGCAGCAGAGACCGCAGCAAGCTTGGGTCCTGCCTGCCTCCTGTTGCGGGCAGGAGGAGAGGCAGATATTTAGCAGTAACCCCACAGCGAGTTGCTTCCCGGACTCCTGCTTGCCTCTCCTGGCAGAAGCTCCTCCAGCACAGACACAGCGGAGGCTCCGTGTCCAGGTTGCCTGGGATTACAAAGCCATTTCGGTCTTTTGCCAGGTGTCTGGTGCCTTTGGCAGGTAGAAAGTCGGCGAGTCCTGAGCAGAGTCCCCCCTTACAGTAAGAAGGGACGTGGCAACTACTTTTAAACTCTCCAGCTGGCAGCTCTGCTTCTAGAGGCTGAGCTTCTATTTCCAAATGCTGACTAGTCTTGCTATAATGGGGAAAATCTGCAATTTCCCTTGTCCCAGCCACCCCATGAGCGTGGGCAGGGCACACTCTGACCTTGTGCCAACACCCAGGCACCTCTTGCGTGGAAAACAGCAGCAAAAGCCACCTCGGCTCCCTGCGAGGGACACTTGCAGCGCTCACCCGTCCCGTGCAGCCACCGCGATGGCAGGACAGGACAACGTGTGCCCCGGTAGCCACGCGTGTGCCTTGGACAGACCCCCAGATCACGGCAGGGGAGATGCAGCACCATGCACAGCAAACAGCTCTTCCGCCTGCCCAGCTACATCTGCTTTGTAACTCCAGCATCCGAGCAGCAAGTGGGATATAAAGCCGATGGGAAGCCACTCATTGCCCCTGTCCCTCGAGCCCCGAGAGCTCCCAGTAAGGATCAAGGACATTTAATCTGCTAATTTCACTTGCAAGTTGACTTTGCAACAGAGACAGTTGTTGGCAGGAGGCAGAGGTGAGATGGTTTCCCCTGATGGCCACCCCCACATGCAGACCCCTGGGAGGACCAGCCCTTTCTGAAAGCTCCTTTCTGAGCTGCTCCTGAACCAGAAGCCTTGCCACACCAAGCAGCAGACTGGGCACAGGTGAGAGCAGGTCAGCAGGAGCTCAGCATCACCCGAGGGGTCTCCGACAGCCCCCCACAGCAGGCTGCAATGCTCCTGAGCAGCTTGCAAATGCACTGCGAGGGGAAAGGGCTGTGCAAGCCACCGCAGCCGTTGAGCCATTACCTCCCCATTCCCAGAAGCCTGAACAAAGGCCACAGTGTGTTCAGCTGCAAAAAAGCTTTTCCTGAAGTTTACGTGCAGCTAAAAATACCTTGAGAAAGTCATTAGGCAGCAGAGGCAGTTGGATTAGCAGGGCTCTGCTGTGGGGCCATACCTGCAGCAGCCTTTCCTCCAGATAGGAGCCGAGCCAGCAGAGATGAGCCACCCCCACACGGCCTTTGGAAACATCCTCCCTAAAAATTCCTGGAGAGAAAGGAGCTGCTGCCCCAGACAGCCTGGAAAAAATTCAGACAGCAAAAGCAGCAACAACACACTGACAGTGCAGAAGAGCCATCTTACAGTGCAAAGCAGAGAGTGACTTTGGAGATTTCCCCGAATGCAGTGGAGATGTGTCTGGAAGCAAAGGGACTGTCCCGTTCACGGCTCAGCTGCTCCCCTCTGCTCCACACTGGGATGGGGGCAGTTGTTCACTT